CAGCACCGTGGCTTAGAACAACAGCATGGGCCGGGCATGGTGGCTCACGCCTGTAATCCCAGCACTTTGGGAGGCTGAGGTGGGCAGATGATGAGGTCAGGAGTTCAAGACCATCCTGGCCAACATAGTGAAATGCCATCTCTAATAAAAATACAAAAATTAGCTGGGCATGATGGCACGTGCCTGTAGTCCCAGCTACTCGGGAGGCTGAGGCAGGAGAATTGCTTGAACCTGGGAGGCAGAGGTTGTGATGAGCCAAGAACGCACCACTGTACTCTGGCCTGGGCAACAGAGCAAGACTCCACCTCAAAAAAAAAGAACAACAGCATGTGCTGGGTGACCTTTGGCAAGTCGATTCACCTCTCTGAACCTCAGCCTTTTGAGCTGCTAAACGGGATTGTTGTGATTGCTGGATGAGGCGAGGCCTGTGATTGGCTGGCATGCAGCAGGCGCTAATGAGTGGGAAAGATGATGTAGGCAGGCAGCTTTCCCATGGCCGAGAAACACTGCAGAGGAGGAGTCAGCAGGACTTAGGGACTCTGAAGGGCCAATGGCGGAATGACCCAAAGAAGGCTTTAAGCCAGACCCACAGGCTCCACCTCGAGGGCCCTCAGCGATAGCACCCACGGCCCCACACTCAGCTTAGGGGCCTAGGTCTGGTGACCCAGCCAGAAGCCACAGGACCCTGAGGCACCTGAGGCCTCTGGAGGCTGTGCCTGGGAAGCCCTCTCTTTAGCAAGGCCGTCCACTTCCTGCGTGGGGGTGACGGGCTCCTCCCGTGAGGTCTGACTGTGCCCCTCTCTTGCAGACCCCATGATGGAGCTGACAGGCACTGACCCTTCTGAGCTAGACGGCCAGCAGGAGATAGAGGACTTCGAGGAGAACGCCTACAGCTACACGAGCGTGGACGGCGGCGCCGAGGCCAGCGTCCTCACCGAACAGGCCATGAAGGAGATGGCCTACTACAATGTGCTATAGCGCAAGCTGGGCCACCCCCAACGGGGGCCGGGGGGCCGGGTGTGGGGGTGAGACCCACGGGCTGCGGGCTGCACTCCTGCAGCTAAGAAACAAGCTACTGCCCCACTGTTCTGAGCCCCTCCCCGAGTCGTTTGCACCACTAGGGACCTTTAGACCAAATGGAGACGTACTACTGGCCCGGCTGTGAGCCAGCACTGGCCCAGGTATCCCAGCGAGGGGAGGAGAACACACGAGGCCCAGATCGGGGTCTCCCTAGCCTGCTTCCCCAGGGATGCAGTGGGAGAAGGGGGGCCACTGGGGACAGGTCACAAGGGCACAGGCCCTCGGGGTCTCTCCAGGCCCAGCAGAGCTCCTCAGGGGTCCTGACACTGGAGGAAGAGACCACTCGAGCCATGTCTTTTTCTCGGCCAACTCCTGCCTCTAAGGATGTCTGAGTTCCCTGCTCTGGTCAGTACTTCCCACCCCCACCTTGTCCAGGTCCCCTTCCCCCTGTCGACGGGACGCCAGGCAGGGCACTCTGCCTTCTACCTCGCACGCCTCAAGCCAGGCGTGCACTTGGCCCCGGCCCCGGCCTGCAAGACAGCTGGGGGGAGCCCAGCCCCCAGAAGACCCCTGTCCTACATCCCTGTCTGGAAGTGGGTGTCCCTAAAGTGGATTGCAACACACGTCATCCACTTCGGCCCTAGCTGGAATGTCATACCAGAGCCCCCGCCAGGGACAAAGCTGGGACAGGCCCCTCATCAGGCACACACACTATCAAAACCAGGAGCAGGGGCCAGGGCAGAGCGGGGTGAGGGCACCACAGGGGACCAAGAAGGGCTGTCCTCGTGGAGGCCCAGGACCACCTGTGGGGGAGGGACTGCAGTCATTTCTTATCCCTGGGTCCACCTTGTGATGGGGATAGCCACGAGTCAGAGCTCCCCAGAAAGAGCAACATATTTAAGAAGGAAAGTGAAGCTCACAAAGGGAAAACAAGGGTTTTTTGAGCAAAGGGGTCTTTCGAAGGTAACTTATTCTTTTTTTCTTTTCAACTCCGTGTCACCTATGACCTTTTCTGATGGAGATGCATTTTCTTTTCCAAGCGTAAGCTTCCTCATGTGCTGTGCGTGCTTCCTACCCACCCACCCCGAGCGGCCTGGCAGGCAGGACTGGGGCCCAGGTTGCCCTGGCCCTGGAGGAGCAGCCGTTGGCAGCAGCCTGAGCAGCTGGGGTAAGGAAGGAGAAGGCAGCGCGGGGAAGCCCTCCACCCCTGCCTGGCCCCTGCAGCCACTGACTCCTCCGTCCTGTGCCCCTGACTCTGCTCAGCCAACAGTGCGCTCCCTTGCTCACCTGCTCTCTTCCCCTCTGTTTCCATGCCAGCCTGCCCCTGCAACCAGAGGCAACAGGCCCAGGGCGGTGAAATAGCACATTCAGGAACTCTAGGGCACCCGGACCCCCACCCACGTGCCTCCTGAGGACTCAGTGGGGCGGGGCTGGCAGGGGCCGTCCCCAAAGGCACAGATGAAGCCACTAGCTTCAGCCCAGAAACCCGGAACGGGGAACAGCCTGGGTGGGCAAAACCCATCTGCAGCGCAGCCACCCGCAAGGCTGAATCCTCAAGTGAAGGACGAAGCCAGGCCTCAGGGTGACTGTGATAAGGACTGAGGGGTGGACAGGGTGGCCCGAGTGTGGCTCCCAGACCCCGAGGCCCCACGGCCTCCCAGGTGCCCGCCATGATGACCCTCAGGTGGCAGTGACCCCGTCACTGTACAAGACATTTTCTCCTGCTGAGCAGAAGGCATCATCCCCTGCAACTACCTCTTCCCACAACGTCTTTCTCCCCTGGTACCAAAAAGAACCCCGTACCTCCTCCTCCTCCTTTCTCCCGCCAGTACAGTGGCCTTGGGCTTGGAAACTGAAGGGAGAAGGTCTGGCCCCCGGGGTGGGGCGCTCCTTTCCCTCCCCAACCCCGCCATCCGCACTGGCCCTCTGCGAGGTTCGATACTTGAACGCCCCCTGCCCTGTGCCTTGGACCTGGGCAAAGCTGGGAGGAGGAAACAGCACAACTCACAGTTTGAGCTAGGGGGTGGTCTCCGCAAGGCTCCTGTCCGCACCCCTCCCTGACCTTCTCAAAAGAGGTGCACAGCCTCTCGGGTGACTTGGAAACCCCTGGACAAATTCCATTCTAACTTATTTTGACATGTATACAAACAACTGTTTAGAGATTCCACTTGTGCAAAGCCCTACTGTGTTTTTATGTTCCTGTTTAAAAAAGAAGTTTACTTAGCAATAATTATAAATAAATGAATATTCTTTAGTGAGGTGACTGCAAATCCGTCTTTCCCCAGCTCTTGGGGACCTGGCCCTCACCCCCAGCAGGAACTCCCAGCCCCACACAGCAGGGCTGCACTCACCAGGCCCAGGGGAAGCTGAGACCATCCTCTGCCCTGGAATGGCTACCCACAGGGCCAGGCACCTACAACCAGCTGCTCTGGGCCCAAGAGAGTCGTGTGGGCCAAGGCCCTGCATTCCCACCCCTTGCAGAGAAAAGCTTCTTCCCCTCCCCACCCACCCACAGGGCTCCAGGAAAGAAGCCAGCTCCCAATGCCAGGCCAGGCTTCAGAGGCTGCATTCTGCAAGGCTGCCAGCCCTGTGCTGTGACAGGCAAGAAGAGGCAGGAAGCCTTGAGCTACCTCCCAGGGGCTGGGCCTGCGGGAGCCAGCAGTCCGCTTTTCTTCTCAGCCCTGCAATTTCACGGCATTACTCAGGAAGAGGAAGCAGAGGCACCAGTGTGCGTGGAGGGCGAGAGCCCTTCCAAAGCCACTGAGTCTACAGCAATAGTCAGGTTTCGGGAGCCATGGGGGTCCCCCCAGTACTTTGGAAAGGGACTTTGTAAGATGGGGTTTTCTTTGAGAGATGGGGTTTCACTCTGTTGCTCAGGCTGGAGTGCAGTGGTGCCATCATAGCTCACTACAGCCTCAAACTCCTGGGCTCAAGTGATCTTCCCACCTTGGCCTAGGACTGTAGACATGAGCCACTACACCTGGCCAGGACTTTATAAAGATTACACAACTCTTCTCCAGGACATTTTAACACCAACAAATAGAAGCTAATCACTGTGCAGAGGACAGTTATTTGATTATATGTAGCTTTAGAGCAACTTTCTATTCTTCCTTTTTACATGGGGCTAAAGAATGTGCATAGAGCAATTTTTTTTTTTTTTTTTTTTTTTTTGAGACAGAGTCTTGCTCTGTCACCCAGGGTGGAGTGCAATAGCATGATCTTGGCTCACTGCAACCTCCACCTCCCACGTTCAAGCCATTTTCCTGTTGCGGCCTCCCAAATAGCTAGGACTACAGGTGTGTGTCACCATGCCCAGCTAAGTTTTGTATTTTAAGTAGAGATGGGGTTGTACCATGTTGGCCAGGCTGGTCTTGAACTCCTGGCCTCAAGTGATCCACCCACAGCCTCCCAAAGTGCTGGGATTACAGGGTGTGCCACAGTGCCTGGCTGAGAGCAGTTTTTCCCAAGCTTCTCTAGTTTTGCCACTACATGGTAAAAGTGAACCCAAGCCTGGGAACGCTGGCCTGGATGATGTGGGGCCCTCATTCACACGCACCCAAGCCCCCGCAAACCCAGGCAGCCTTGGGAAGGAGAAGTGTGAAGCGGGTATGGGTACATGTTTTTAGTACCTAGAAAAAGGCTAAGAACGTGGCCTGGAGATGTTTAGATTAAAACCAGGAAGAAAAAGATCAATGACAACCTATCAGGAACTGAGTCACCCTCAGAATGGAGAACTGGACACAAACTGGATGGTGCTAGGGACTTCAGGGAACCCAGAGGCCTGTGCCCGGAGAGTCCCAAAGCTCCGTGGGGGCCCTGTGGAATGAATGCAGGTCCCCAGGGCTGCCTGGTCCCTCCCCGCAGTGGCAGCCCCTTCCTGCGGGGCTCCGGTCTGACCCAGGGGAACCCCCACCTCTAGCAGGGCCTCAACTTCAGGGCCCCCGCTGCCTCCTCCCCTCAGGGACAAACACAGCAGACAGTTTTGTGAAGAGCTTTTTAGTAGCTAAATATGGCACCATGTGTTCCAAGGGCAATATAAATTACAGTATGCAAAACATACCGACTGGCTGAGGTAAGACACGCTGCTCCTGCCTCACATCACATGAGGGGAAACACACATATGCTTTAAAAACATCTCGCTTATAAAAACGTCCCCTAAAAAGGCCTCCAGAGAGGGGCTGTGAGGCTCACCCTCCGCCACGCTCAGGAGGCCCGACGGCTCGGCCCGGCCCGTCCACTGCAGCCACGGCGGCGCCTCCCTACTGCCTGCCCAGGGCTCTGTCCAGGTTGCTCTTAATGGTGTCCAGGAAGTCCGTGGTGTTCAGGAAGTGTTCGTTCAGCTTCACGCTGCGGAGAAAGCACCACTCACATCAGGGGCAGCTCCGGGCTTTGCCAACGCTGTCAGCCAGGCCCTTCCAGGGAACAGCATGAGCTTGGGCGTCAGAATAGCCATCTCCTGCCACCCAGGCTGCAGGCTAGAGGCCCCGATAGCCCACTGCCATGAGGCCACAGCAATGCCACAGGCACCCGTAGGGTCTCTTTCCAGGTGACTGCTCTCCTGGGAGAAGCTGGGTGAGGGTGCGGGCAGGGTCAGAAGGAGCTCTGAGCAGCCAGCCTCGGGGATGGGAAGCAGCTCACTAGGTCTGGTCTGCAGCAGCTGGCCTGAGCCACCTCTCAGGGCTGCGGACTTGTGCAGCCCCGGACCCCTGGCTTCACCCCACCTGGCCCCACCGTCTGGCCTCCACCCCAGGCCACGCACTTGCTGAGGCCATGAATGCAGCCCGCCAGGTCCTTGGTCATGGCTCCACTCTCTACGGTCTCCACACACACCTTCTCCAATGTCTGGGCAAACCTGCAGGGGATGGGGCAGAATGAGACCCCCTCTGTGCCAGGCCAGAACCCGGAGCCTTTCCCGGCAGCTGTGGCCTCTCCCTCTGTGCTCACCTGATGAGGTCCGGGTTCCCATCCAGCTTCCCCCTGTGCTCCAGGCCACGTGTCCAGGCAAAGATGCTGGCGATGGGGTTGGTGCTGGTGGGCCGGCCCTGGGGATAGGGGTTGCAGGGGGATCAAGAGCCGAGCCAGCTAGCGTGGAGGCTGCCCAGATACAGCTGCCTGCCCTGGACTTGCTGGTCAGGCTCGTCCTTCCAGCCCTCAGGTCAGTGGGCTTTGGGCCCCGGCGGGGAACAGGGTCATTGTGAGGCCCCATGTCCTGCACTCACCTTCTGGTGCTCCCGATAGTGGCGGGTGACAGTCCCATGAGCGGCCTCAGCCTCAATTGTCTTCCCGTCAGGGCAGACCAGGACAGACGTCATCAGGCCAAGGGAGCCAAAGCCTGGAGGTTGGAAAGCCTTTCTCAGGGCCTTGCCTCTCCTGGGCCCCCAGCTGAGCCACGCTGCCCTCTACTACCCACTGTTGTAGCTGCCACAGCTCATGGCTCTACTCAGCCTCCCCCAACGGCAACTGGGAGGACAGGGACTATTCCAGGCCTCTCCACCCTGCCCTGGGTCTCCAGGGCACAGCACATCAGCATCCCTCTGTATCACCGCCTCCAGGCACCCCACAGCCTGTGGCCCATGGGGCCGAGACCCCACCGAGTCCTGCGGCCCCCACAGCCTGCTGCCTGGCTCAGGACCCGGAGATGCATTCAAGCAAACAGTAAAGCTGTTGCCAGCTATTTCCCCACCATCACTGTTGCAGCTGCTCTCTCAGGCCACTCTCAAGCTTTTTGATGTATTTCCAAGTGTTCCCAAATCCACGTGTCAACTCAAGCAAACTCTGCTGTTGTTAAGGACTCCAGGGCTCCAAAGGCACCCCCATGGCACCAAAATAAGGATTGAAGAAAGAAAACAACATCTACAGGAAAATGCTTCGTCTATGAATTCTAAGGATTTTGGCAGTGAGCAAGCCCTTCTCCACTGTACCTGCACCCTCACACCCATTCCTTAGACACTTGAGGTTACATTTCGTGCCTTTCCCTCATCTGCTATGGCTTTTCAGCCTTCCATCCTAGATGGCAGTTATTCAGGTGAAGCGATCCCCACTGGACTTTTCAAAGTAAAGCCAAAGGTTTACACAAAGTAACAAGACTCTACTTTTCACCAGAAACTGACCCAGGCTTCCCTCTCCCCCTTGCCAGGAGCTGCCCTGCCTGGTAAGCTTAGGTTTCTCTTTCACTCCCTGTGTCCCACCTGACTCCCACGCTGCCACCTTTCCGGCTCTTGTTCCCTACACAATTGGCCCATTTCTCACTGTTCTTTGCTAATAGTCTCACTTATACTCAGGGCTGAAACCTGGCCCTGGAATTCCTGTGCCGTCCTTTCTAAAAGCAGCCTCAGTAATACACCAATCCAAACCTAATTTGTGAGCCTCTCACTCAGATGCCAGGGCGCTCCCCCTGCTGTCCACAGAGAATCCTGCAATGAGTCCTGCTGCTCCATTCCAGTTTTCTACCCAAAGGGTCTAAAAATCCCCTCCAGCTAGAGAAGAGCAGCAGCCCACCCCCACGGGGAGCAGCATGCTCCCTGCGTACCCTGGGCCAGGATGTCGGACTGCACATCTCCATCATAGTTCTTGCAGGCCCACACAAAGCCGCCGGAAGACTTGAGGACCTGAGCCACCATGTCGTCAATGAGCCGGTGCTCATACCAGATCTTATTCTTGTCGAAGTCGGTCTTATAATGCCTGGGAGAGTAGAAAGGTCTGTTATGGGGAGAGGGCAGAAGGCACACAGGTTGGGGACCCCTCCCCGAGCCTTGACGCTGAGCCAAAAGCACTCTAATGGCGACCTCCCCAGGGCAGGATGGGGACAACATGGGGGAAAGGGAATAAAAGCCATGGAGTGGACGGATGAGGCTTTACTTGTCAAAGATCTCCTGGAATATGTCCTTGAAGCGCCCATCGTAGGCTTTCAGAATGGTGTTCTTGGTGCTCATGTATAGCGGCCACTTCTTCTGGATGGCATACTGGAAGCAGCTGTGCGCGAAACCCGAGATGGACTGCGGGGAGAGAGAGGACCCTGGCAGGGTGTCCTAGCCTGGCACTTGCCGGCAACCCCCCACCTCCCAGAGCCAGGCCCAGACCTCCAGGAACGGTTCCCTGCCACCCACACAACTGTTTGACACCAGCCTCCGTGTAGGGAGCACGATGTTTCTGCTGGCCCAGCCTCTGCCTCTCGACTTCCCGGGGGCAAGAGGTCCCTCAACTTTGCTCTGGAAAGCCCCGCCTTTTCCCCAGTTCTTAGACTAAGTGGCGGGGAAGGGCTCATTCCCATGCTCCATGGCCCGCGCTGGGGTTGACCATGCGTCCCTGGCTCATCCAATCACAAGCCTTTCTCCCCGGGGCTTCTGCGATTGGCTCAGAGGTGGTCATGTGACTCCGCCTCGCCCTTAAGCTGGAGTTGGGAGCAAAGAGGCGTCCCCTTCTGAGAGGGTAGCCAGGTGGGCAGGGTGAGTCTGGAGCTGCTGCTGGCCATTTCTCTTCTTTTTTTTTCTATAAGAGATGAGGTCTCGCTATGTTGCCCAGGCTGGTTTCAAGCGTCTCACCTCAAGCAATCCTCCTGCCTCAGCCGCCCAAAATGCTGGAATTACAAGTGTGAGCCACCGTGCCCAGCCCGGGCGGCCATTTCTGCCTCTTTATGGTCTAAGAATGAGGCCATCCCAGAAGAAAGGAAAGCCACGAGACAGAGATGAAGAGATGAGCTGGGAGAGGAGGGTACGGGACGCCCGAGCCAGCCTCACCTCGTCGGTGTTGTACATGCCCATGCCCACGCCGCCCGCGGGGAAGTTGTACACCTCCCACTCCTTGACACCGCTGCCATCTTTCGGGGTAAACACCATCTTGAACGTGCCGGCCCGGTCCGCCACAAAGTCTGTGGCCTTGTACTGCAGAGACAAGAGGATGGCTAGGCCAGGAGCTCTGGTCGGGGGGCGCCCATGTCTGTGGACCCCCTCTCCCACCCTGTCCTACCTGGTCGCCGTGGGCGTGCCTGCCAATGGTGATGGGCTTGGTCCAGCCGGGGACAAGGCGTGGGATGTTTTTGCAGATGATGGGCTCCCGGAAGACGGTCCCCCCCAGGATGTTCCGGATAGTTCCATTGGGACTTTTCCACATCTTCTTCAGCTTGAACTCTGTGAAGACAGAGAGAAAGTGGTCCCACTGCAGCCGCCACCTTACAACCGGAACTTGAACTCCAAGCAACAGCACAGCCAGCCAAGGGTCCTAAAATTCTTCGTGGGGGAGTCAGTAGAGTCTAGAGGCAAACACGCTGGCTCTGGAGTCTGCCAGTTTTAACTCTGAGGCTTACACAAGTGGCTCAGCCGAAGCTGTAAAAGAAAATTTCTGGTAAAATCCCAAACCTAGGTGTTACCATGAGGACAAAATGAGCTTGCGTAAAGGACCTAGAACGGTGCCCGGCCCATGCTAAGTGCTCTGTGGGCCATTATGATTCCTACAACACACGTGGAGGGAGTGCAGTCTGGGGAAGGGTTTCTCTGATGAGGCCTGATAACACACTGGCCACTGCACAGGCTCCGGGGCTGGCCCCAGCACTGCCCCAGTTCCTAAGGCTGTGACCCTCTCCTGCCCTGTCTGTAAATGGGGGTACATAACTCCCAAGGTTCAGGTGAAAGGAAGAACTCAGCACTCAGATGATCCCAGTGCTGTAGGGCTGGGCATGACCTGCAGGACAGGGGCAGGCCTGGGGACTTTGCAGATGTATCTCGAGTGCTTCCTTCCAGCTCCCTCCGACTCAGGAAGTAGAAAAAGAGAGCTGAGAAAATCCCTCAACCATCCTTTCTCAAATTCTCCAAACCAGGCCCCTCTGCCGACACACTGCTGCCATTTCATGGAACCCTCAAGAGCGACTCCCACAGCCAAGGACCAGCAGCCAGTCCAGGCCTCATGGGGACACCTCTCAGTGACCCTGCATGACCATGGGGATGGGGCCAGACCTGCAAGGCCAAGCCAGTGGCAGGAGGGCACTAGCGAAGTCCCCAGAGGCTGCTGAGACTCTGAAGGACACAGGCCTGACACATGGCACTTCTGCACAGTCTCTCTGCAAAGCTGCCTGCAAGAAAATCCACACCAGAACAGACTGCTGCCCAAAGAAGCCATCATCACTGTGACCACATCAGCATTACCTTCCTTTTCCTCCTCCTCAGCCCTGTCACTGGTGACACCTACCACTGTCAGAGCCACAGAGTGCAGCAGAAACACCCCTGACCTGAGAGATAGAAGATGTGGCCTCTGTTCTCAGCTCTGCTGCACCCTAACCATGGAACTTGAGGCCAGCCCCTTACCTACACCTGTTCCAGCCTCATCAACAGTGACCTCTGAGTAACAGTGACCACAGTCCACTAGGCACACACAGGGAGACTGGCCTTAGGTACAGTTGGCCTCAGGAAAGCCCCAGCTCTGGAAGCTCCCAGCCCCCCCGATCCCAAGATTACCAACATGGCCACCTGCCCCACCCCAAGTGTGGAGAGGCTGGTGAGAGAAGCCCCCCCCCCCCCGGCTCGCCCACCTCCACACCCTCGTACCTTCCACACGGGCCTCATCAGGGGTGATGGTGGCACACTTGACAGCCACACTGTACTTCTGGGTGGCCAAGGCAGAATCAATGGTGACCTGGTCATTGGTCTGGTCACGGTTTGGGAGCCCAAGGTCAAAATACTTTAGCTGGATGTCCACGTGGGGCAGGATGAGCTGGGGACAGAGGGCCAGAACAAGGCGTCACCCCAGCAACTCAGGGACAGGACAGCAAAGGGCAGGATAAGAAGTCTGCAGGCCATGGCAGGGGATAGTCAGTCAGAACAGGGACAAGTGAAGGCCAGAGGGGGGCGTGCAGCAGAAAGCTGGACTCAGCCATTTCTAGCACAGCCTGGCCAGAGCCAGCAGGGGCAGGGCTCTGGAGGGAGGTCGGTAGGCCACACCACAGCCTTCTGCAGGGCTCTTCCCCACCGTGCCATCTGCTCCACTAACATGACACATCGATTCAGCCAAACCCCAAACCGAAGTACATCTAGATTTCTCTATATGATGAGTTTCCTCTTCTCAAGTGCTTTGAGATCTCACAGTCGGAAGTGGCAGTTCTTGACCTTTGTCCCATGAATACACACACAATGCAGGGACTTCACATGGACTACATGCTCTCCTGGGCACACATAGACCACGGCGACTTTGGAGAAGCCGAGCTACCATCCTGGGACCCCTTTGCCCTAGTGGCCGCCACAGCCATAGGCTGGATCACTGCCCC